AAGCCGCAAAACACCCCCAGAAGCTGGCGATTTTAACCCCCCAGCCCTGTGGGGGTGGGTGGGTGGAGCGTGGCAAGGGTCCAAGGGAGCCTCCCAGGACCCTTGCCACACTCCTTCCCCCAGCACAGGGCCATCACCGGCAAAATCGCCAGTTTCTGGGAGTCTTTTGAGGCTTGGGAAGCCTCTGAATAGTCCCAGAAGGTGGCGATTTTGCCCCCTCTGACCCCTGAGGGGGGCAGGGTGAGTCTCTAAAGTGTCCTGGAACACACCCTAGGACCCTTTGGAGGCTCACCCTCCAGCCAGCCTGTGGGACTCTTCTGAAGCTTCCCAAGCCTGAAGTCCCAGAAGCTGGCGATTTCGCCCCCCTGACACCCGAGGGGGCAGGGCAAGCCTCCAAAGGGTCCTAGGATGTGTTCCATAAGATGGACCTCTCCATAAGGCTCACCAATTTTTAGGGGAAGAAAAATTATTTTTTTCCTGTTTTCTTCTAAAAATTTGGTGCGTCTTGTGGAAAGGTGCGTCTTATGGAGCGAAAAATACGGTATTTTTTTCTTGACAATGAGAATGTGTTAGTCAACCTTACTCTCCAAATCAAAATTTTTGAAAATTGGGGATTGGACAGCAAGGAATGCAACTTTCTGGCTCTATTGTTCGCTATGGTTTTTGGTAAAAATCTGCCCTCTTGTGGAGGATGGTGAGGATCTTAATGGGAAAGCATTTTTTTAAAGTCATATTGGTGACATATTGCCATGTTAATGGCTGGTCAGCCGTCCCCCAGCCATAAATTTAGCTAGTGGGTTTTATATTTTTGTAACCATGATTATTGGGACATCACAGAGCTGAACAAAAAGCATGTTAGATGTACTTTTGATCTCTCTAGGAATGGTTAATCATATGTTAAATAATGTTCTCAGTGACTTATGTCCTTAATTTCCCCCCTTGAGCATAGGCTCTGTTTAAACATTTATTTTCACATGACTATAATTAGAACCTTGTATATACAGTGGTGCCTCGCTTAACGGGCGCTCCATTTAGCGACGAAACCGCATAGTGATGAACTTTTTGCGATCGCATTGCGATGTTTCCTATGCGTTTTTTTCGCTTTGTGATGATCAGTTCCCTGTTTTGCTTACTGATCATCGCAAAGCGATGATTTTTTAACAGCTGATCAGCGGTTCCAAAATGGCCACTGAGTAAAAAAAATGGCCGCCCGCTGTATTTTCGCACAGATTCCTCGCTTTAGAGGAAGCGAAAATGGCCGCCGTATGGAGGATCTTCGCTTTAAGGTCAGTTTTTTGCCCATAGGAATGCATTAAACAGGTTTTAATGCGTTTCTATGGGCTTTTAAAAGTCGCATAGCGACAATCGCTTTGTAGCGATTTTTGCTGCACGGATTAACATTGTTATGCGAGGCACCACTGTACTTCTAAGTAGAATCTTCAGCAATTTTGGAGATCACTTATTCACAGGGTGGATATAAGGTGGAGGCAACTTGATGGAACATAAAACAACTAGAATCTTTCTTTTGTAAAGTCATTATAGAAGCTGAGGAATGGGAGCTAGATGCACATCTGTCATTTGGTGTGATAATGTTTATATTCTAGCCAGAAGTCTAGAAAACACTCTAAGCAAGTCAGATCACTCATGGTGGCCTTGTTGTTTAGTCTGGTCAAGTTTCAAAGCTGTGTGATGCATTTCAAAGGTTTGCCATGCCAGCCAAAGTAAGATCCTATCCAATCTCCAGATCACATTCTTGATGCAAGTCAGAATTTATAATGTCTGTTTCAATAATGTGCTGAAGTAGTTTTACATTTCATAGCTTCATTTTCTAGGGAATGACAGCTTTCACCCTATAACAACATCACCTTTCCTGTATTTTTGAGATAGAGTAATAGAGGGGACAAGGAGGGGGACCCTCAGCATTTCAGCTGTTTTCAAGCTGTGCTGCATGTGTGTGCTTTTGAAGTGTGTGCATCCTAGAGCAATATACATTTTCAGCTCCTAAGCAGCTAGAAAGGGAGGCATGGTTCATTGTTTGGACCTCCTTGCCCTTGGAACAGGGAACAGTGGGTTCTGAAGCAGATTAGATTGGGGTAAAAAGGTTATTACACATAGACAAAATCTACAGGCTCACTAAGATCTCAATTCTTTTATCCTAAAAAGCTTTGTATACTAATTGAAGATGCTTCTGTGTTTGGCAAAATGTGGCACAGTTATTAACATGCTGAAAACTTCTTTTTTACTCATTTGTGTAAATGTGGCACAGTTATTAACATGATTGAAAACTGACTTCTTTTTTACTCAT